TTGTTGACATTTCTATCTTTATGAAACTCTAATAACTACTGTACTTGTCTGAAGGAGGACTTTCTCGGGGTGAGGAGCCTTCTTTGCTGAAGAGAATTGTGCATATATACAACTGTATATATTTCCCTACATTTTATCTACACGTTATTCCTTTTTTAAAAGCTTTTATTTAACTTGTCTGTCTGTCTGTCTGTCTGTCTGTCGCCAAATCTTGTTATCAATTTTTAATATACTTATAGGGCACCTAAAAATATGAAATTTGGTACACATGTTCAGACCTGATGACAATGCTAGCTGACCAATTTTCAGACTTCTGGGTTGTCAGGTTGGCTACGAACGGACAAATTTCCAAATTTCCTTTCAAATTTAGTATATTTAATTTTAATATGCCTCCAGACCATATAGAATAATAAAACTCACAATACTCGCTCAGTTCAATTAAAAATGCAAGTGTACTAATTTTCAGACTTCTGGGTGGTCGGGAAGGCGGGAAATGAATCATTATATATATGTTAGTAACGGATTTTGCTTACGTCATCTCCAACCTCCCACGAGGAATTGACCAATCTGCTGCGAGCAGGCTTGCAGCTATTTAAGGCCAACGTCGTCTCAGTGATAAGGCTATTTTTTTTGGACTGGCATATATACGACTAAAAATAGCGTGAATAATTAACATAAAAAACACTTTCAAAAAAAGCTTTTATTTAAAATGCACTAAAATAACAAAATAAATATTTCTGAAGTATTGCTTTTTTTTCTGAAGGTACCATTTAACAAATAAAATAATAGACTTAGAAATAAAAGCGGTGGGGTATGATAATCATTTATGCAGCAAATAGGTATAAATTTAATGAAAGGCATAATCTTGCTAATCATTTGCTTCATATAAAATCACATTGATCTCAAATTTATTATTATTGTACCCCACCGCTTTTATTTCTAAGTCTATTATTTTATTTGTTAAATGGTACCTTCAGAAAAAAAAGCAATACTTCAGAAATATTTATTTTGTTATTTTTAATGCATTTTAAATGAAAGCTTTTTTAAAAGTGTTTTTATAATTAATTATATATTATCCTTTATTTGATCTTAATATTCTTCTGTAGCACTTGATTAGAAGAATTAATAAAATTGTTTAAATTGTCAGTTGTCTAATAACAACTGCAAAATGGGCCCCGTGAATGTCTAAAGGGAATTTGGTGAAAAGAAAAATAGTATTGAGAGTCAAATGGTTGAAAAGTACGAACGAGGCATTCAGGTGGCATATATAGCGAGATTTTCAAGAAGTCGACATCAAGGACTTGTAAAATATTGAGGAAGATGAAAAAGAAGAAAGATAATTGAATGCAGCAAAGGAGTCGCAAGACTAATAAAGCAAGGTTGAGGTCTATCAAAAACACCAAATTGTTCCTGCGGAGAAACTGAACAAATTGATCTTCAATTTATCTACGACTGTCCGAACTTTACAGAAGTGAGGCATCGATTGTTCTCTGATCTAAATAATTTAACTCTCTACTTCAGCCACTTTGTATATATTATGAAATCTGTCGAATAATACATGCAAATTTGTAAATATTAATTCTAAGTTCTAATTTGTTTGTTGGTTTATTTGTTTCCTCTGTAATAGGAGCAAATATTTCAATATCGCGCCTGGTTGATTAATAAATAAAAAAAGCAAGGTCCTCCTTCCTTAGACGAATTTTCAGATCGTAGAAGCTTGTGTGCCTTATATTGTACAAATAAAATAAACCTTCCCTCGAATTTTAACTTTATACCAACAACGGGATTATCCAAAGGTAAAATAACCTGCAAATATTTTTATATCGTGGAATAATTATATAATTTTTAATTATTTAAATGGAGAAATAGTTATTTTTATTGACAGTGGGAAAAAAGAAATTTTGACAATGATATCCGGCTTGTAAGTAAATATTTGTTCCAAAAATATAATCAATATGAATAATGATTTATATATTATATAGTAGATAATAAAAGAACATATATTGGATTGGATAAAAGATTTATTTACCAATATTTCGGTTGGCTGAACGCACATGTTCAGCGTATTTACGCCTAGTTTGGCCTCAAATACCCATTTCTTTGTTTCCCAAGAAGCCTCTGGGATTAAAACATTTTTGGTCGCAGTGGTACAGTCTGCACCACGCTAACGAGGACCAGCAGCGCGAAACCCGTTCGTGGTTGACTTTTCTTGTTTTATCAAGAAAATAGGGTGGCCATATATCAGGGAACAGACTAAGTCAACGTTTAGTTGATTTCTGTTCCACTGGATGGCGCTCTGCCATCTAAAAAGATCGTGTGCTCGTGGTCAGGATATGCCTTTTTTGATTTTAATATATAATTATATAACTGAACTGAAAACAATCGACATTAACTACTCACAATCTGCCTGGCATCATCCGTGGTTCTATGTGTTGCAGAAATTAAGACTAGCTAAGTACCATCTGCCTCGCTTCATTCGTGGTCATCTGAGCAGCAGCGATCTAGGCTAATTAAAAACAAACTGCCTTCTTCTACCTGGTCATCTGAGCAGCAGCGATCTGAGCTAATTAAGAACAAACTGCCATCTTCTACCTGGTCATCTGAGCAGCAGCGATCTAGGCTAATTAAGAACAAACTGCCTTCTTCTACCTGGTCATCTGAGCAGCAGCGATCTAAGCTAATTAAGAACAAACTGCCTTCTACCTGGTCATCTGAGCAGCAGCGATCTAAGCTAATTAAGAACAAACTGCCATCTTCTACCTGGTCATCTGAGCAGCAGTCATCTAGGCTGATAAATCACAAACTGCTTGCTTCATACATGGTCCTTTGAACTGCAACAAACAATAATACAGTAGAACCTCCCTGTAAAGGACACCTAATTGCAGAGGTAAAGTGTCCTTTAGGGAGAGGTGTCCCCTTACCGGAGAGTTGCTAAATTGTAAAAATAGTAATTTTGCAAATGAAAACTGTCCTTTGTGGAGAGGTCTCCGCTAACAGGGTGTCCGCTACAGGGAGGTTCTACTGTACTAGCTATCCATGGTACTCTGAGCTGTAGCCATCTAGGCTAGCTAAGTACACCGCTTAGCTTGATCCGTAGTTTTCTAAGCAGCAGAAACCGAGGATAGTTAAGTATAAATTGGGGGGTTTCATCAGTGGCTGTTTGAATAGCAACAGCCAAGTTCAGCTCAGAATCTGGATGATATGCAGCTAACAGATGGTCTTATTTCACTTTAATCGTAAAGATAGAGGCGGTCTGGCCTGCATTCACATTTTTTTAAAAAACAGACAATACGCCCAGTTGAAGTGTTATTTCCTTAATGTTTGAACAAAAATCTTTTTTCTTTATCAGGAGAAATAAATAAAAAATAAAGCATTTGGGAAGGCGTATAAAATTATTCTGAGGTTCCAAAGGCGTTCTCACGCGATTTTTTCAAATTGAGAGTACCTTCTCACGTTAAGTTACAATATTTCCACACTTTATGAAATGTGTAAAACGAGGCAATAAAGGAAGAGTTTAAACTTTTCGTTTAACACTCCGTGAGATTTCCCCGGGGAAACTAACCTGTTGTGCCGCTGGAGACGCTCTTTAATTATTTGGAAGGAAGTGAGCGAAGTGGACGTTTTTCTGCATTACACTCATTTAGGACATCAACTGTGTGATTCAGTAATTCTCTAACTGCTTTCTATATAATTTCATTTTATTACTTCAGAATTATTTTACTTAACTACGTAATTTCATTGTAGCCTCATATATATTTTTTCAAGATAAAAGATATAAAATTCAACGTGAATTTAAAAATAAATTTACAGCAGAACCTCCCTTTAG